TCAGCAAAAGTAACTGACTTGATGTCAAAGGCGAGCAGCCTGACTAAGATGCATTAGCCCTCCTGCGATATTATAGATTGTTTAAATAGCCTCCTAAAAACAAAATTGATCCACTATTATCAATGTCACTCACTGGTGAGATAACGTACAGCAGCTCTCCATCGAAGGGGAAAAACCGCTATTGATTACAAGACATCTTTTTAATAAACACGTATCTCCTTATGGATTTTAGATAGGTCCGGCTGGTAATGGCATTCATGACCTATAATCTGTGCCGAAGATAAATGAACATCCTCAAGGGGTTGTTGTTGTGATGTGTGCGAGGAGTTTGCCACAATATTCAGAGTGGGCAGCTGGCAACAACCGGGCTCTTTTGACAATCAGAGTGATCGAACAATATCAATCGACAAACTCAGGCGAGCAGCCAACCAGGAGTGTTTTTTAATGAAAGCGTTTGAAGAAGCTCAGGATTGTGAGCCTGGAAAAGATAGCAAAGTAGGAGTGATGTAGCTCGAAGGAGGGAATGCTCAGTTAACGGATGACAGCACAAGGACCCAATCTTAAAGGAGAGGACAAATAACCTTCGCGGGATAGCAAGCAAGGCTTTGTCACTTATTCTGTGCGGATTTTTCATGTACAGAAGTTGCAGCTTGTTCACGAGTTTTATGAAATGTGAAGAGACTGAAACTGTGAGGGAATTAAAATGACAGGTGACAAAAGTTGTTTTTCCAGGAGCAGCCGGATGAACTTTTTCTTCAAAGTGTACAGCCTTTGAAAACATTTGAGCACTCAAAGAGCTAAAAAAATGTTAAAATGTGATAAAAATGTAGCAGAAGAAAACTATACAAATGAAAGACTGTCTGATTCAGAGTCTTTGCCAGATGTTTCTGGCATCCAGTCATTTTCTGTCCTCACTGAAAGAAAAATGCTTCATGATGCAATGTGACAAAATCAGAGCCAAATAATTTGATGTTTAATAAACAGTTATGTGGAGTGGCACTGATAACTATATCCCACAATGCATTGAGTGAGCATTTTAAACTTCTGAAGGATCATGTGACACTGAAGACTGGAGAAATTATTCTGAAAATTCAGCTTTGCATCATAGGAATAATATATATATATATATGACATTTTTAAACTGTAATAATATTTTACAAATATTAAAAAATGCACAAGGGACCTTTTTCAATAACATTAAAAAATTGCAATAATTTCAAACTTTTGATCTGTAGTGTGTGTATATTATATATTAAATATATAAGGTGTATAATGGGTATATGTGTATATATTACATAAAAAAAACATTATCCACAATATTTAATTTTTGTAAATAATATTTATGATGAATATTTGCTTGCAAATAACAACTTATAAACCTAAACTTAAATGGTAAAAGTATGTGATGTTTTAATAGACTTGATGGTCTGCTATGATCAAATTTCTATTTTTTTCCCTGCATGTATTTGCATGTTGCACAATTTTCAAATATTTATAATAGTTTAACAAAACTTCTCCACTCTTTGTTTTTATTTTCTATTAAATAATAATAATAAAAAAATATATTTTAATGGGGCTTCAAATAATGGCTTTGTCTTCAAATAATATTTCACTTTAGATCATTCAAGTTTTTGTATGTAATTTCTATCTGATCTGGATTTAAAAAGAAAAGAAAAATCATGCCATTGATCTATTTATGGTCCAAAGGAGCAACAAAACAGCAGTGCTTGTCTAAACCAAACGGCACACACCAGTATTTACATGAGCCCACTGGACAGCACTGAAAGAATTGATTTTGTGAACCAGTGAAAGCACAGCACATATCAATTTGGGCAGCGCAGCGTTGCACGGTTTGAATGTAAATACAGTCTGTTACGGCTATGTAAGTGAACGTAAACAGATGGGGGGGAAATAATGTCACAATGTGGGATCTGTGCATTAGACCTTGCAGTGTAAAAGCAGCCAAATATGAAGGGGCCAATTTTCTGTGAACTTCCTTTCCAGTGTTACGACAACAAAAGCACAGTGAACCCAAATTTAGTTTCCTTTTTGATTCATGATTTCACCGCAGCATGTTGAAGAGCTCATCCGTCCCCGGCGTCTGCTCTGAACGATCCTAACCCCTCGTTCTCTATGATAACAGACACCTGAACAGATGGATGGCGCCTCAGACAGACTGGGCCCGCTCACGTTCTTAAGTACACTGAGAATCACTGACGGAGAGAATGATGGAGCACCTGGCGTGGGAGAGAGACCTTCTGTTATGCCACTGTAAATTGGCTTGACAAGAAAAACGTTTCACCTCTCAATGTCAGCCATTTGTGTGCCGGCATAAACGGAACTGCAGCCCGGCAGGTGTGGCGCAGGAAAAGGAAAACTGATCCGCTGAACACATTTCCCTCATTAAGCAAGCTGCCCTGAAGCCATCAATTACACTTTCTGTTTTAACGGCTACAGAAAGACAGGCTGGAAATTGCCAGTATGTACTGGAGAAAGTTCCTGCTATTAATGAATAAAAGAACATTTAACTGGACTATACAATTTCAGAAGAAATGCGTGTCTGTGCAAAACTTGTCATCTTGATTCTGGGCTGCTCTAAGTGGTTGCTAAGGTGTTGATAAATACCTAGGAGTTATTAGACAGTTGCTAAGTTGTAGGTGGTAGCTAGGTCATTTCTAAGTTGTTAGGCATGGCATTCATTTTATAGAGTATTTTTAGGTGGTATTAGATGGTTGCTAGGGTGTTCTATTGTTGTTAGGGTGGTTTCTAGGGTGTTTGCATGCAGTTGATACAGTGTTCTATATGGTTGTACTGGATAGTTGTTAGTGTTCTTAGACGGTTGCTAGGATATTCTGGTACTGTAGTTTTTTGGATGTTCTAGGTTGTTGCTAAGCTGTTTATATATGGTTTCTATGGTGTTTTTGTAGTTGCCTGGGAGCTGTTTGAATGTTGCTAAGTTGTATGTGGTTGCTAGGTCATTTCTAGGTTGTTCTAGACAAGGTGGTTTATACTGTGGTTTTAAGTGGTGGGTAAGATGTTCTAAGGTTTTACAGTAGGTGGTTGCTAGGGTGGTTACTAGGATGTTGCCAGTCAGTTGTTACAGTGTTATAAGTGATTGCTAGGGCATTACTAGGTGGTTGCTGTGATGTACTGGATGGTTGCTAAGACAGTTGCTAGGATATTCTGGTAGTGTAGTTGCAAGTGTGTTTTGAGTTGTTGTTACAGTGTTTCTAGGTGTTTTCTAGAGTGTTCTGAAAGGTTGAAAAGGTGTTGATACATGGTTTCTAGGGTATTTTGCGTAGTTGTCTGAGAGTTGTTAGACAGTTGCCAAGTTGCATGTGGTTGCTAGGTCATGTCTAGGTCATTATAGGCTATGTGGTTTATACTGTGTTTTTAGACGGTGGCTAAGATGTTCTAATGTGTTGTTAGATGGCTGCTAGTATGTTCAATAATTGGTAGGACAGTATCAAGTGTGTTGCTAGGCAGTTGGCACAGTGTTCTCTGTGGTTGCTAGGGCACTGCCACTATGCACTGGATGGTTGCTAGTGTTCTTAGATGCTTGCTAGGATATTCTGGTACTGTAGTTGATAGGGTGTTCTGGGTTGTTGTTAGTGTTTCTAGGTATTTGCTAGAGTGTTCTGAATGGTTGCTAATGTGTTGATATATGGTATCTTGGGTGTATTGCAGAGTTTGTTAGAGTTGTTAGACAGTTGCTAAGTTGAAAGAGGTTGCTGGTCATTTCTAGGCTGTTTTAGGCAAGATAATTTATAATGTGGCTTTAAGTGCTGGCTGAGATATTTTAGGGTGTTATTTCAGTAGATGCTAGTAGTTGCTAGGTTGTTCTGTGGTTGTTAGGGTGGTTTCTATGGTGTTGCTAGGCAGTTGTTACAATGTTCTGGGTAGTTGCTAGGGCATTGCTAGGCAGTTTATGTGATACTGGATGGTTGCTAGGATATTCTGGTACTTTTAGGTGTTCGATAAGAGGTTGTAAAATGTTGTTAGGCAGTTGCTAGGGTGTTCAGTGTTTAAGGTGATATGAAGTGTGTTGCTAGGCAGTTGATACAGTGTTCTATGTAGTTGCTATGTCATTGCTAGGATGTACTGGATGGTTGTTGATGTTCTCAGTTGTTAGGATATTCAGGTACAGTAGTTGCTAGGGTGTTCTGAGTTGTTGTTAGAGTGTTTCTAGGTATTTGCTAGAGTGTTCTGAGTGGCTGCTAAGGAGTTGTTATAGGGTTTCTAAAGTAAGGCAATGGTTTCTTTTTGTGGAGTTGTCTGGGCACTGTTAGACAGTTGCTAAGTTGTATGTGGTTGCTAGGTCATTTCTAGGTTGTTATAGGCTATGTGGTTTACACTGTGGTTTTAAGTGGTGGCTAATGTGTTAAGGCATTTTAGGCAGTTGCTAGGGTGTTCAGTGGTTGTTAGGGTGGTTTCAAGTGTGTTTTTAGGCAGTGTTGGCTGGGAGTTATTAGAGAGTTGCTAAAGTAAGTTGTAGGTTGATGCTAGGCTGTGTCTATGTTGTTATAGGAGTAGTTTATAGGGTGTTTTAAGTGGTGGCTAGGATGTTAAAGTGTTGTTAGGGTGGTTTCTAAGATGTTGCTAGGCAGCTGATACAGTGTTCAAGGTGCTTTCCAGGGCACTGCTAGAATGTAGTGGATGGTTTCTAGGATATCCCGGTACTGTAGTTGCTAGGGTGTTCTGGGTTGTTTATAGAGAGTTTCTAGAATGTTCTGAGTAGTTGCTAATATGTTGATACATGATTTCTAGGGTTTTGAGTAGTTGCCTGTGAGTTGTTAGAGTTTTATGTGTGGCTATGCAATTTCTAGGGTATGCTAGGTGATTGTTTATAAATTCTGTCTGGTTGCTAAGGCATCGCTAGAGTGTCTTCAATTCAACATTTTTTTTCACTTGTTGAAATCTTTTCCAGTAGTTTCCAAGCACTTTAAAAACACACTTTTTTTTTCATTTTATGGAAGCTCATGTTATGTGCATGTTTTCAATGGTTCCTTTGCCAAATTAATTTGGCCAAAAAGGAAGAACTTTATTCAACATTTTTTTAGAGCACACAAGCAAAGATTAAAACTTGTCATTTAAAACTTTTCTGAAAAATCATTTTGACTCAACTAAGCAATTACTAGCTCACAAAGTTTGGCCTTTAGGGCCCTTAACAGAAACGTTGGGGTCAATTTTATCTTCTAACTTGAATGAAAAAAAACAAAAATCAAAAGGAAGTTAGTTCAAATTTTAAACTGTTTGCACTAAAACAGATGAGTCGTCTTACAGCTCCATCTGTTTCTCACAGTTTTATGTTCTCATTATCTGGCCGTTGGACACAGAAGGTGCACCGACCGGTCACACACATTTAGTTCTCCATCCCTCCATCACCTTCAGTTTTTTTCATCTTATAATGTTCCTCTCCGAGCTTCCTTAACTGCTCTGCAGCCTGCGAAAGAGAGTAAAAGGGAGAGAAATAGAGAAGATTCTGAATGAGTGAACAAACTCACTTTAGACACTCAACAACTAACACATACACTACGTCTCTTCTGCTCACCAAGGCTGCATTTATTTGATCAAAAATACAGCAAAAATAGTAATATTATGAAATATTATTACAATTTAAAACTGCTGTCTACTGTAATATATGTTAAAATGTAATTTATTCCTGTGATCAAAGCTGAATTTTCAGCATCATTCATCCAGTCTTCAGTGTCACATGATCCTTCAGAAATCATTCTAATATGCCGATGTGATGCTCAAGAAACATTCCTGATTATTATCAGTGTTCAGTACTGCTTAATATTTTTGATTTAAGGATTATTTGATGAATAGACAGTTCAAAAGAATAACATTTAATTGAAATACAATTTTCTTTGTAACAATATAAATGTCTTTACTCTCACTTTTGATCAATTAAATGCATACCTACTGAATAAAAGTATTAACTTATAAATTAATTAATTAGTTAATTAAATATTACTGATTCTAATCCTGAACAGTAATGTAGTTCCAAATACAAAAAGAAAATAATCAATTAACATTTCTAAAGTATTGAATTCATTGAATGATCCAAAAATGTATTCAATATAAAACATTTTTAATAACATTTACTAATAAAACTTATTAATACGTTTAGTAATTGTATTGACTTTTTTTTTTGCTCTAAAACCTATTCTATGCATAAATAATGTCAATGTATTTAATGAGCTGTAGGTAATAATGATGGCACAATGGTGACAGCTTTTTGTAGACCTTCAGATACAATATGTGCTTATACAGAAACTCTGAATAATAAACCTGTGCTGAGAAATATTTCTGGGAGTAAAAAGTGTGACAACTAGTTCCATTCTCTCTTACACAGTTCTTTAGAAGTGCTTGGACCACATAAACATCTACACAATTTGCTGGGATAGAGACATACATTTGAAAAATACAACTGTGGCAAAAAGGCAGATTGCTGTGAGCATGATATTCCAAACGAAAGTCGTTCAGTCATGACGTTTGAGCGCCGCAGATAAAAAAGCGCCCATTGCATTACACTTAGCGTCCCTGCTAAGAGTCACGTAATGCTTGGCAATAACCAGCATATGAATATGTGCTGGTGCGTACTAGGAAACAACTGGAAATATGGCCGTAGTGAGTGGTGGTGTACATGAGCTCTGAATATGGCATATGTGGCAACCTGGATTTAAATCTGGCCTAATGAGATTAATTGGATGACCCTAAAAATAGAATACAGTCATCATTAAATTACTGTTCCAAGCTAATATGACTTGTTTTTCTTTCATAAAACACAAAAGTAGATGACTGACCCCGCATTCAATGGAAAAGAAAAGAAATTGCCATAATTGTAGTACATAACTAACTAAAACTATTAAGGATAATTTATTGAAATAAAGCTGAAATATAAACCTTGGCAATGTACTGAAATAACTGAAATAAAAGAAGTTTAAATTGATGTACTAAAATTACAAAAACTAAAATAGATATAAATTTAAGTTAAACAGAAATATTAAATACAATACAAAAACATACAATTACTAAAACAACTTGAAATTAAAATGAAAACTGAAAAAGTATCAACAAAAAAATAAAAGCTAATTAAAAATATTTCTAAATACAACAACAATATATAAATAATACTAAAATAACACTGCATAAAACTCACAATGCACATTTTTCAGAAGTCATATAATGTCTTTGTGTAATGAAAAAAAAAACGAATTTGAATGATAAATAACAAAAGAAAGAACACCATACAGGTTTAGAGCAACTAGTTAAAAATCACAAAATGTTCATATTTGGGACTCTGTCCCTTTCTGATTGATTGATTGATTGATTGATTGAGCTGTAATTGACAAACTTAAGTCTGAGGATGGTTGAGTGACCAACTAACCAAAATGTTGCGTACAAAATTTCATGATAATTTTATCTGACACACCTGGATTTGGGTGTGCAAGGCACTATATTTTCTATTAAGTCTGGAGGTAACAAAAGGCATTTCCGTCGCACTTTAGTTTGGGGACCAATTCTCACTATTAACTAACTATTAACTATGACTTTTGCCTCAATAAACTCCTAATTTGCTGCTTATTAATAGTTAGTAAGGTAGTGGTTAAGTTTAGGTGTGGGGTGAATTAAGGGATCTAAAATATAGTCATGCAAAATAAGGCATAAATATGTGCTTTATAAGTACTAGTAAACAGCCAATATGCTAGTAATATGCATGCTAATAAGCAACTAGTTAATAGTGAGAATTGGTCTCTAAACTAAAGTGTTACTGACATTTCAAAGCATATTATTTCATCAGTGGCTCAAGCTGAAATGTCTCTCTGTCTGTCAGTAATAGACCACTTCTAAATCAGTGTCTGACACTTCAGAAGGAAGCTACAATTTCATGGTCAAAGACACTATAGCTTCTCTGAGCAGCCGGCCAACTCGAGGAACCAATTATATTCTTACCTTGGTTTGGATGTTGGCCAAGTAGAAACAGTTCGGGAAAGTACTTTCACAACATGTTTCATCATCTCATCGACTTGAATCTCTTCTTCCCAAAAATACTAATGCAGAACTTGGTGTAACAGTATCAATATAGTTTTGTGAGGTACATTTTAGCAGTATATATCACTTTTCCTCCTCACTACTGAATCACACTAAAGCTAGGACATATAATTCAGACAAACAGTGTCCAAACTGTATATCCACTGGCTTGTAAAATGGGAACTGGTCACTGTATTGTGCTCACACGCTAACTTGGCTTTGAACTCGCCACCAATGGCAACCCAGCTCAGCAGACAGAGGTCAGGTCGACAGATAACCAAGCCCAATTTATCGCAGTCCAAACCATTCTCACTCGTTTAGCTTGAAGAAAAACAGATGTCCTGGTTTAGGACTGATAACACTCACCGTCGCCAGATAAATTTCACATTCAGGTGGACAAGCTGGGGGGAAATGGGTTTCCTGGGAGTGTGAAAAGGGCTTGGATTGCTGTCGGGAGGGGGGCTGCTGATTGGACCCGAGTCGATGTGACCGACAGAGTCACAGTGTGACGGATCAGCGTTGATGGCCAGTGTCCTGACAACCTCCGGATGGAAGGCTGTAATTTGATCAAGCTATCAATCAATACTTCCAGATGGGCATCAATCAAGAGCGTAATGCGCTGCACCCTTATCCTCCTCACTTTGGCAGCCGAGACAAGAAAAAGGAGACAGGAAAATAGGGGCCTCAGTTTCTGTTCGGCTCCCCTTCCCTCGCTTGACAGCCTCAAACCGAGCAGGGTCACCCTGGCCTGGGTGTGCCTGACAGAAACACTTAGACGCTAGAAGAAAGTCCCACATGACTGGACACATTAATTGTGCAGGAGAAGTAGGTGCGGAAGTGCTGGAAATATGAGTCATTGTGGATTAAACTAACTTCTAATGATACTGAGGACAGTAGCTCAGTACCGCTGGAAGAGTCACAAGCTGTTAAGCGTGACATTATAATAGTGCTTAGGACTCCTTTGTTGAAACCTGGCGGAAAACAACAAAAGTCACCTCATTTAAAAACCTGACAGCAGCGGTTGTCAGGATAGCCGCTTCAGAAGTCATTTATAACCAGTGGTTTTGGAGAAATGGGGCCGAGTATTGTTAGGTCATGAAATCCCGGTATAAAAAAGGAGGTTATCTACAACTTGGGTGTTGAACGAGGAATAACTGGGGAGCTAAAGCTTAATGGAAACTATAAATGTAGTGGAAAGATAAAAACACTCCTGAGTCAGGAGACAAATACAATCTAGAGGTCTGCATGGGCGTTAAACTGAAGCCCAAATCCAGCCTGTAAATGAAAACCTGTGACCTAATCTGAATGGTATTGTCAAATTGTATGGCGTTTTATTTCCTATCAAGTGAGTAGACCCATATGCACATTTACAGAGAGCAAACAGTCTGCTAAGAATTATGTTAAAATTAAATGAAAATATGTTATATTTTATTATTAGTAGTAGTAATAGTAGTAGTTGCAGTAGTATTAGTATTATTATAAATTCAATGAAAGAAAATAATTATAATTTTAGGTCCAGATGCAATTTGTTAACATAAAAAATATTTATAATATATTTTAGATTATTACTGTTATTAATAATATTATAGATAATAATATTTAAGTAATAGTTAATATTTTATTATTATTTAGTATTTAAGAATAATAATATGTATTATAAATATATTGTTAGATATACCACCAGCCTGCTAAGAGTTAAGATAAAAATAATAATAATAATAATAATAAT